ATATATATATATATAAACACACATATTTTTTATGCATGCACAAATACATGTTGTGAGTCTACTGAACTAGTGTTTTTGCTCACCTGGCCGGGAGGCCTTGGTCAACGTTTCTGCGAATCTTCTGGGTATCAGCACCCTGGCACCTTGGCCGAGGGCCTTGGGAGCTCGCGTTTTTTAGGGTTTGGGGTTTAGGGTNNCCTATAAACCCTAAACCCTAGAGAGAGAGAGAGAGAGAGAGAGAGAGAGAGAGAGAGATCCTGATGGTTGGTCAGGTGGTTAGGCTTCGGGTTCTGGGGTTCTGCGAAAGTGTAAGCTTTGTCTGCATTGCACGTACGTTCACATGAACTTGCGTCGGTTGGCTTTTCATGGCAGCATGTAGTAACATCTATAGGACTGTACAGACGTACCCCTATATGTAACTTCGTGGGCGTGAAGATGTGGATCACTATCGCAATTTGCTCCGTTTCATCGTCATCACTACCATTGCTAGTACCGCCAGCGTTTGCATGATGTCTCACGATCTTACACACGTCCACAAACAGAAATTGCTGTACTGCAGCCAAGGCATCTCCGGGTATAATATGCTAGAAGAATGCCCCCTGCTTCATGAAGGTGCTACTACTTGTATCCAGCGGCCTATATGTCCGTCCCTTCATGTGTAGATGAAAATACGTGTATTTATGTGTATGTATATATATATATGCACACATGTACAGAACAAATCACAGGGCCCGCGAAGTCACAGGACCCACGAGCTGCGCAGATTGTGCTAATCATAATGGCGTCCTTAACATGTGCTGTAATTTATATTTCATATCACCCAATAACTGGAAACCTGTGCAACCTGTGGCAGAACCTTGATGGCCTATGTGAGGTACAGGCCCTGGAAGATGGGTGGCCAAAAGTATGTTGTTCATGGCATTGTTGCTGTAACGAGTGTCGAAAAAGTGGCTAACTACACTTTGTAGACTGCAGGGCACTGTAGCTGGCCTGCTGTACTTTATGAGAAATGTTGTGTCTCACACGCGAAGCGGTATGATACGGACTCTGCTGCGGCTGCACCTGCCAGGGGATGATGCAGCAAATGAAGCCCTAATCTGTATTTCCGACACCCTAATCCCTGAACCCTAACCCCTAAATCCCAATCCTTAAAGCTTAAATCCTAAGGCCTAAATCCTAATCCCTAAATCCTAAAGCCTACATCCTAAACCCTAAACCCTAAACCCTAAACCCTAAATAAATCCTCAAATCTGGACCCAAATCCGAGGCATTGCCCTGGGCCATGGCTGAAAGTGGCTTCGTCCCGTTCGTGCTGGCCATCGCCTGAGACGTTTTAGGGTTGAGGGTTTAGGGTTTAGGGTTTAGGGTTTAGGGGTTTAGGGTTTTGGGTTTAGGGTTTAGGGGTTTAGGGGTTTTGGGTTTAGGGTTTATGTAAGGTTTAGCGGTTTGGGGCTTTGGGGTTTAGGATTTACAGTAGGGTTTAGCGTTTGGGGCTCTAGGGTTTAGGATTTACGGCAAGGTTTAGGGTTTGGGCTTTAGGGATTTACAGTGGGCTGACACAAAGGTTTCTTTAGGGGGCTGCAGAAGAGTTGTAATGCAAAGGCTTCTATAAGAGTTCCTAATCCCTTCCGGCTATCACCAAAGATTCGATAGCACTTTCGGGGAGCATTTGGCCCGCACCCGAAGAGGAGACTGAAAGGGGCAAGTCGACGGTGCAATTGGGGCCTATTTGCGTAAGCTGCAAGGGTTGCGGACCTATCGTCAGTTATTTAACCTGTATCGAAGCTCTCTCTCGCTCTCTTTCTTGCTCTCGCAGAGTTTGGGGATAAAACCACCATCCGGAACCATGCGATTTCCAGCAGGGGCCGCCGAAACATGGGAACTGCAGGGCCTTTGGCCTGCCAAATGAAAGGTTTAGTATAGAGCGCTTGGGAATGGGAAGATTCAAAGTATGGATCACCAATGTTGTTCACTGTTCACGGAAACCATATTATACGCTTGTGGTGCGGAGGGGGAGGAGGTGAGGGTTCCATTTCGTGTTGCGGGGGGAAAGAGATTAGTCATTATTATAAGCCTAAAGCCTAAGCCCTAAATTTTAAGAGTTATAAAAAAGCTCGACTATAGGATGCAAAATTTTCGTGGTTAGGAGTTAGGGCCTTGAAGGTTCGGGAGCTTTGGGGCTTGGGGGTTGAGGGCCTGTCGGGTTGCGGCGCCATCGGGTTTGAGGATTTTTGGGGCTTTGGGGTGTTTCGGGTCTTCTCAAGCCTCCCCACACCCCCAATGGTGCCTGTATTTGTGGCTCCTAAAGTTCCTAAACCTCAATTCAGAAAAAGGGGTACTGAAACCATTGAACAGTTGGTGTGTATGCGCACTGAAGGATGGAGAATAGAACTTTCGGGCTGTAAAGTGTTAGGTGAGTTCAAGGATTGTCCAGCTCCGACAGTTCTAGTGCCAAGTGCTTTTAGGAGCTTAGCGCCCATCAGGGCAGTCTTTGAGTTTAGGGTTTAGGGTAGTTCCCGCGGTTGTTTTCCATGACAGGGGCCGCAACCAGTAGCAATGTCATTTCAGTCCGCGCACCCTAAACCCCTAAACCCTAAACCCCTAAACCCCTAAACCCCTAAACCCTAAACCCTAACCCCTAACTCCTAACCCTGGTTTCCATACTCTACAACCGTGTCCTGCCCTTGCGGAAGGGCCTAGCCCAGGGATTAGGCTTCTGCAGTTTCGTCACGGCCCTTTTTGTTTCAATTTCGCCTTCAGCCGGTGCCGTCAGATCATACATTGAGCGTGACATGTTTCCGCTGCAATCTTAATTGTTTTAGAAATGTACTGGCCGTACAAATTAGAATAGGGTTTTGCGGCCCTTTCTGCTATAGTTATAATCAGGAACCCGTTCGTTCGACGAAAAAGAAAAGAAGCCAGGGCCTTCCCGTTGAAACCCACGGCAAGCCAAGCGTGCCAGGTTCTCTGCGTCGTGGCCGCACTGACACGATTGGAGCGACTTTGGGCATGTAAAACTACCGCTTGTATTCATGCTGGTTGATTTGGACGGCTTCATAGCCCGACACATTTAGCTGCAATCGGCCTTTAAAGCTGTTTTGCCCCCGAATGTCATAAAGTCCTCATGCCTGCAGCCCTGTAAAATGCTGCCCTTGCGGCAGATGGATCAATGGTGTGACACTAACCCAAAACCTAAACCCTATACCCCAAAGCCTTAAGTTGAGGATCATCTGCGGCAGGCCTGCCTGCTGCAGGTGCCCTTGGCTCATATGGCTGCATCATCCCGCAGATCAGTCATCAGGATTCGTTTAGGGTTTAGGGCTCAGGAACCCAAGCCCTGAACCTGAAAACCCAAACTCGAAACTCGAAGACCTGAACCTTGCACCCTAAACCCTAGACCAGGTGGTTCAACCTTAGCAACAGAGATGTGAGGCCCCCTGCAGGAAGCGAAGGTGCATTCTTCATACACGCTTTCAGCTGGAACTCTGTATGGGGAGGCTAGGGACAAGGGTTTCGGTGCACTGTGCCATCTAGGCTTACTGGCAGCTCTAGACTTTATAGAACTTAGAACCCATCAGATGCTACCTGCCACTCCAAGCCTTCATCAGTTGAACTAGCTTGGGTGTTTATGCCAGCCACCGCCTGTCTCAAGTTCCCTGTGCAGAGCTAGAAGCATTGGCTTATGTTGGCTTCCTCGGCGCAAGTTGGGATTCATGGACGACGTGCAGCGGTACGTTTACCGAGCGTTGCGGTCAGATGAGGACAGATGCGTCCCAATCCCATTCAGTCTGCCCTCAACCCTGAACCTTCATATGCACTACGCGGGCAGGACGTCATGGGAGGTCTGAGGGCACGAGATCCAGCTGCCAACCGTATTCGGCTGCACCGAACATCACTTTTCCGTCGGGCTTGTTATAGGGATTACTTTGTCTAGAGCTTTGGGTTACATGAACTCTCTTGTTCTTTTCTAAGTTTCCTGCCGCAAGCTCTCGAGGCACCATCTCGGAAGCTTTGGAAGAAGGCAAAGTGGCGAGCCAGTTCTTGCACGCGACCATCTCGCCGTTAGTGGCGCTTTATTATGCCAAGTTTGACTCCAAAACGTCGAAGCAGCAAATCGTGGAGATCGATTTGGAAAGTTTCGGGGGCGAAGTCGTTGATGTGTCAGATCCCCATGCTTGCAACTGTCATGACATCCCTCGAAAGAGCAGGGCCTATGATTTTGCTATCAAGCACGAGGTCGTCATGCTCAAGGGTTACATCCGGCCGGAACGTCTGTCTAACAAAGTCTTTGACACCACTGAGTATTGCCTGGACTACACCGGCCGTTCGTCCTTCGATGATTTCCTGTTATCCTTGCCGGGATCGATGCGACAGGAAGTTACACACTATTGGAGACTCGACACCTTCAGTACCAGATGCAGACGGCAAAAATCGAAGACGTGGCTGAACCAAGCCGTATACGAGGACGATGCAGCCCAGAAGTTGGTGCTAAAGAAGGCATCAGACTGTCTATCGCAAGAAATAGGAAAGCTTCAAAAACTTCAGGCGAGAAAGAAGGTGATCGATGCACAGTTCCGGGAGATTGAGAAGAGGGCTGGCAGAGACAAAGCACGCTTGAAAGAAGAAGCGCGAGTACAACAGCTTGAGGAAGAAAGGCGGGAACGAGAGCGGCAAGAGGAAGAGCGTCTCTAAAAGAAGCTTCGGGGCGAGGAGAGGAGAGGCCCGAAAATCCGTGCAAGGTGTCCGGAAAAGGACCATCTGTATGACAACTTCGACAGGGAAGCCCTGCAGGTGGCTCTCGGCAATGGTGGCTACATTGCGATTTGGGACCGTGCCAAGCGCCATGCTTGGTGCAACATCCCGAAATCATTGGAAAACAAGCTCAATGGCCGGGGCTATCATCAGCCACATGCCACGATGGTCGCACTTAGTCCGGATTCGGACGACTACTATGTGCAGTTTAGTGACAGGTCAGCGAGGTTTTGTGGTCCTGAAAGCTTCGAGGAGCTTGTAGCCACTTCAAAATCTCCGTCAGTTGTTGCATTCGGCGAGGGAGGATCCTGGTTCGTGGGATGGCCTAGTGGTAGCTGGGAGTATGACGGTTTGCCAAGAAGTCTTCGCAACATGCTGGACTCAAACAGACACAGGTCTGTCGCCAAGCTCAGTATCTCCGGCACGAGCCGCTATCAAGATTTCGATGAGGCAGCGTGGTTCATCCACTGGGGAGATGATGGTCATCCCGCTTGGAAGCTGAAGAATGCACCCGACATACTCTCGGAACGACTGCAGGAGGTGCAGGAGAAGGGCGGTACGGTGCGGAGTATCGAGTTCGGAAGTTATGGCGAATGGGTTCTTCGCTATGGCTACGAAGACTGAGCTCTGCTACTACACAAACTTCGCGCTCAGCCGAGCCCTGTTGCCACAAACGGACATCCCGAGAAGCCACCGAAGTTCACTGGCCGTCGCCCGTTTTGTGCAAGACCACCGAGTGGAAAGCAACATGCTGTAAAACCGTAGAGCCAAACCCGCGTGCGTGTCTTCATGTCACTGTCGTCTGAGGCACTGGAGCCCGATGTCCATGACGATGATAATGGAGAAGCCTACATAATCACCAAGATTATTCTTAAGGATCCTTACTGTAAGTATACTATGAAGGAGCCCAAAACCCTATTCTAATTATTAAGGCCCCTATACTAGTTTGAGGTTCAGAGTTTGCTTCGGGCTGCGGGGCTCAGGGCTTGGATGTGCTCGCCTGCATGTGGGTAGTTCTCTAAATAGGTCCCCAATATAGTACGGCACCCTTAGAAAGAGGGCCCGAAAAGGGACCTTAATTTAGAGAACTACCCATGTTCATCCTTGCCAGATGTTGGCCTGCCGCAGCACCTGGAAGGCACCTGCCCGGGATGGAGAGTCGCCTTAGCTTTCAGGAGTGGGTGTCTCAGAAAGTCCAGGAGTGGGAATTTCAGAAAAAATCAGGAGTGGGTGTTTCAGAAAATTCAGGAGTGGGTGTTTCAGAAAATGCAGGAGTGGGTGTTTCAGAAAATGGCTGTGGAATTTGGCTGCGGAGGTCGCGGCCTCAAGCCCAGCACCGAACAGTCCGCCTCCCCTGGAATCAGATGGGTAGCTGTCAAAATTATGGTCCCTTTTGGGGTACCCTAAAGAATAGGTGTCGTATTATAATAAGGACCCCAAAAGGGACCATAATTTTGACAACCACCCAGATGCTCCTGGACCTGTCTGCCTTCGACGGCAGCGTGATTTGTGGCCTCCTGAGCTGTGCCAGCGCCAGGTCTGAAGCCCTTGACTCTTAAGGGTACATCGGTTTAGGGTTTAGGGTTTAGGGTTTAGGGTTTAGGGTATATAGTAAGTGTATAAGGATCCCAGGGTTAGGGGCCCATACTAGGGGCCCATGGTTTCAACCTTAGACTCAACCCTACTTGGAGGCTCAGGGGACTTAGTAAGTAGGTTATAAGTAGAGTTATAGGTACCCTAAACGGAGTTACCCCAATTATAACCCTACTTATAACCGACTTACTAAGTCCCCTGGGCCTCCAAGTAGCGCCTGTTCTACACGGAAGCTGCCACTGAAACCCGTAAAGATGAGTTCAAGTCTTGGCCCCACGATTTCTCTCCTCCGCACAGAGTAGGTTCTGGGAGAGTTTGTGTGCGATGGGAGCAAGACCGAAACCCCTAAATCTGAAGCTCCCAATCCTACACCCGACGCCGTAAGCCTTAGGTTTCAGGTGTAGGGAACGCTGAACCCTAAACCGTAAACTATGATTGGGTACTACACCGAGGATCTTTGATAGGTTAGTTCTCTACACCTGCGCGGCCTTCGCATCGCTATTCCACACAACCGCAGAGCCCCAAAGTGCTGATGGGGTTTGCTTGGGGCTTGGAGCTAGGGTTTGGGGCTTAGGGCTCAGGGCTTGCTGTAGGGGTTTGGTTTGGCGTGACCATTTAAATCGTGAGGCTCACCAGTGTGTCGCCGATATTTAAAAGAATCAGGCCGGAACCAAAGGCAATATTTTCCTGATGATACCGCTCAACCTTAGGACCATAGCTTCTTATACTATCAGCTGAGCGGATAGGAACCACCAGGAGTATGCAGACAACACGAACAACGCTGACCATCCAACAAAAGCTAAGATGTTTGTGTGCAACCGTATGGGCATAATTGAGAGATACTGCCCACAACCCCCGTCAACCCTGAACCCAACCCCCTGTGCCCTGCACCCCCTTAACCTTGAACCCAACCCCTAAACCCCCCTAAACCCTAAATCCTAGACTTTAAACCCGAAGCCCCAGCTGTTATTGAGAGTTTGCTTCCTTCCCCCTAAACCCTATAAACCCTATACTATATGCCAGGCCTTCTTGAGAATTTGCTTCCTTCCCCCTAAACCCTATAAACCCCCTAAACCCCATAAACCATCTAAAACCCTAGAAACAATATAAACCCCCTGGACCCTCTAAACCCTATAAACCCCCTAAACCTTATAAGCCCTATAAGCCCTATAAACCCTATAAGCCCTGTAAACCCCATAAACCCAAAAAAACCTTATAAACCCTCTAAAACCCTCTAAAACATCCTAAAACCCTATAAAACCCTATAAAACCCTATAAACCCAGGCCGGGCGTCGTACCCCGAATTGGGCCGGCGCGTCTACGGCCCTGAGGCCTCGGAAGGGCAAAGTTCATATTCGGAGTTTAAGGGGTTCAACAGAGGGGCCTTAAGAATCTTAGTTCCCCAGTACCCAACCTTTAAACTTTTTGGGTTCTTATAATTTACTGTAGTGGTAATCTGAAAGTTTAACCTTTTATTTCCCTGGCTGATTGGGGGAAGTAAGTAATTAGAATATATTAGAATAGGGTTTTGCGAACCATTATACTACAGTTGGAATGAGGAACCCCCCAAAATAATGTTGGTAATCATTTAGGCCCCTACATTCGCGGTCAGCATACAATCCGAGCGAGAGCGACGACTGGATAATTAGCAAGAAGGTTTTTAGATGTACAAGTTACGAATGAGACCGACCACCTTTACAAAAACTGTTCCACACCTCTTGTGGGGGCGTGTAAGCTATTGGACACTCCATATGCTCCTTTATCTGGGCCAAAAACGGTTTTCATGGCACTCGAGTATTTCCAAGCACATAACAACGACGGGAACGGTGGCTGCCCCGCTGGTCTGGGACAACGTGGCACCAAAGACAGACTAGGAACCATCTCGTGACAACCGTAAAGCGCCAAAGACTTAGACTTGCGAAATTGAAATTCGATGCCGTGGCGTTCCGCCAAGAACTTCATTGCATGATAGAAGGTAGTGACTTGTTCGCCGAGGGGCTTCCGTCAAGAAGAGAGATGCGCATTTGCATTTGGCTAAACTAGGTGGGCGAATTCCAGGAGGGAGAGCTGCCAATTTTGTCGTGATAACCAACCTGTCGGCTGCTTAACGAAAAGAACATGCACCTCCAACACCTCATCCGACTGGGCCCAAATCGGATCGCTTAAGACAGCTTGCAGCACCCGCAAGAGCCTAGAACCTAAGAGGCCGTCTTAAAATTCGACAGGTGCCCGCGCACTGCAACGAACAGTTTAGCCGACGATTGACTGTAAGTACGGGCAGACTCCACTTCAGACCTTGTGCATTCGTTATATTTCCCGAAACAGGTTCAATACGCGTCTGCGTAGTATTGACTACATCTTCCTGGAGCTTGAAAACGCGCTGAACTTTCAGAAGGGGTGCGTTTGCTGCGGACACCGCTGCCCGGAAAATGGTTTCCTGCTCATTTGTCTATTTCTGCTGGGCGCACTTGGCTGCACGACCTGCTTTATCATGATGACAGGCCCACCATTGCAAGAACGCAGTAGTCTGCTGCCAAGGTTTGGCGTGGGAATGCATGTGAGTGATCGTCCATCCCCGCAGCTTAAGGCAAATTGTGGAACAGATTGACCACCAGAGCTTTGTTTCTGCAAGTTGAAGGAGGCGATCCGCTACCCAAACGTGTTTAAGCAACAAACCAAAACCCCTGGGCCACCCCAAGACGATCCAAAAACACGTCAGCACTTACTGCACATTGCACCACCACACAAAGGGCAAAAAACTCAGCTCTGTAGTTGCACTGCTTGCCGGGCAGAACATCTGCAAAATAAACCTCAAAATCAACCGAATGAGGCATGGTGCTGCCTTCGGTAAACAGCACCGCATGTTCGTGCAGACACTCTGTGATAGCAGGCCATGGAAGTGAATCACAAACATGAACCATGTCGCTACCTCAGGGGGGGATTTCAATCAATCCTTTCAGCAGTTGTGTGTCGGAAAAACTACTTTGGGGAATTAAAGATGCTGAGCGAGGATTCGCAAAATGCGGGCAGCCCCTCAATCTGTGAGTGTAGCTGTCTTCGGCTCCGCAGTGGCGACGTTTCGCGGCGCTTTCATCCATTTTATTCGTTTTTGTTTGCTAGACAATGCTGCTCCAACAGAGAAATTTCCGATGATGGGCACGGAAGCCTGAGTCGCACGTCGTAGACACATGATGTGTGCAACATGTACATTAGAGAGAAGTTTGTACTCTGCTTGACTAGACAGCTTGGGAGTGGTTTAAGGTGTAAAAATTTAGGATGATTTAGGGTTTAGTGTTCCGGGTTTCCCCTCCAATATTTGTACATCGATACGTCACAACCATGCAGAGGTGGCAGGCATGGATCCTCTCTTACATGTCATGTCGTTGTGTTCTTCATGCTTCAGCTTTCATCCACTACCACGGCGTTTCCTGCTTTGGAACTGCAAGGGCCGTACATAATTTTGTTGGCCGCTCGTGGCTTCCGGGACCTCGATATTTTTTTCTGGAGCCGGTGCGCAGCCGAGGGATTTAAGTGTAGTGCCGTTGGCATGCAGACGGCTCTGCAACTACGGCACATGGGGCATGGAGGTGGGATGCCGGGGCATCAACAAGACAGTCCGAATGAAAAATGTGAGCAGCCCTGAACCCATTTTAATTATTCAGGCCCCTTCATTACCTATACTACCGTAGGGCTGTCCGCATCCAGCCGTCCAGGGCCACGTGGCAGTGCTGCTGGCGATCCTTCTGTACTCGACAGGACAGCCATCCTTTCGCCTGACAGCGCAATATCTATGGCACACAGTGGGTTCGACACTGCATCGTGCTTCTAGCAGGCCCCATGAGGAAAGAGAAGGGTCTTGGACAGGACTGATGGCCTGCCAGATATCCGCTCTGGCTGCATTTCGGCTGAGGGCAGTTTTCCCAGATCTGACAGGGGGTAAATAGGACGCCTTCATGATTGCATCACACCGAACCGCTTTCCAACCGCAAACCCAAGACCCTACATAAATCCCAGATGTCCCTGAGCCCAAGCCTTGTTGACAAGAGCGGAGGACCCATGAGCTCTAAACCTTCAGCCAAGGACATCCTGGATCTTCTCATGGAAGACTGGAGAGGCTCTGACAAGAGCCCTTAACTGTAATTTTGAGCGCTTTCATCCAAACAATCCGATGGATGCCTAATTTGCGCAGAGACCGTTGCCGGCTCAGCACAGGAAGGGTTCAGCTGTCTCGGGTTTAGGTGTAACTTGGTTTCCTGGACTTCTTCTCAGGGACTTCTCGAGCCAAGCCCGTTAAGAAGTGTTCCGAAATCCGTTAGCCAACAGCCCCAATGTACAGCCCGAGACATGCACGTCTGGAGACCCAAAGCCACTCCGTCCCTGCCAACAAGCCGTCTACCCTCACGAACTCTGGCAAGGTTAGGTTGACCGAGTGATGGGGTTGGGGGTCCAGTGTGTCATTGGTTTTGGCTTTTGGTTGCGATTTGTATTGGGCTTTGGAGGTTTCGGTTCCTTTGCAAAGCTTTGGAGTTTTAGGGTTGGGGTTCAGAGCTCGGGCGGACCATCTGTGGAATCGAAACTTGCCAGTATTGCCTTTATCGCGGCCCCGACTGGCACCGGTGATCGTCGGCGCCGCGGCATGTTTCCCCGGGGTGCCCTGCATGCAGTTCGTTAGTCTTCTTGATGCTTTGTTGGGGGCTCACGGTTTTTGGGTTTAAGGTTCAGGATTGTGAGTTTGATGCTCACATGTTCCAACTCTGCTGGGTTCTAGTCTGGGGCTTGGGGTTCACACGAGATGTCCATGGAAATGAGAGACTGCCTGCCGCAATGTGCACGTCTCAGAATAGGACTAAGAAATCTGGGTCGGAATGGGCCTCATCTTGCGAGAATCCCTCAGAAGCGACGAAATCATTCGAAATGACTTGTCTCAGACGGAAGCAGCGGCGACAAGAATGGAAATCCGAGAGTCCAAGAGCAGATGCTTTTCTGCCCGCACAGGAAGAAGCGCAATTCATTGTAGAAGCACGGGGTGTTTGTCGTTCGTGGATCGGACTGCTCCAATAAGAAAGGGGCCGAAATTAAAAAATACCTGTTATTCCTTAGGGCTCCTTATTATAATCATACGATAAAGGAGCCCAAAATCCTATTCTATGTATCAATGAACAGGGGCCCGAAATCCAAAGCTGCAACGACAGCCCTCGGCAATCAGGCCAGGAAGCTAGGTAACAAATGTAGTACGGCACCCCTATAAGAGGGACCCCATATAAAAGGAACCCTGATTTAGAGAACTACCCATATGACCTCCGAGAAGGACAAAACCACGTGCGCAAACCGAGACGGAAGCGGTTGATGATATAAATCCTGCATTACCTAGAGGACCCTAAACTACGGGAATTATAGTTTTATGGGTAATGCAGGATTTATCAACAGTATGACACCGCAGAACCCAGGTACTCCTCGCCGCTCCGAGGAGTATGGCCCTGGCAGTGGGCGCCCTGCTAGTTGCCTGGACCCCGGCAAGTGTCTGAAGGGGGAATTTTGTCAAACTTCACCATCATCATCCTCATCATCATCGTCGTCATCCTCATCACACTCATCATCAGCATCATCCTTACCCTCATCATCGTGTTACCCGCAGCAGCAGCAGCAGCAGCAGCAGCAGCAGCAGCAGCAGCAGCAGCAGCAGCACCTCAATTGCATGCTGGTCATTCCGGAGCTACATTCTATTGTTGTCTACTTTGTGCTGTCTAGGGTCGCTGGCGCCCGATCGCATTCCAGACATTCTTTGGCACGTTGAACAGCGGCTGCTGCAAGAAGGGGTTTAGGGTTTAGGGTGCACACGCGACAACCTAATTTCAGTAGCAGTTCTCGTGGCCTTGCACTCTGAGGCAAGCCTGCTCCTGACCTGCTTGCTGCTGATGGCTGCCAGTGCCACTGTGGCAGCAGGAAGTCTCCACAACTCGTTTCCGAAGGCGTACTCGGCTGCTGTGCCCTTTTGGGTTTTGGATTGTGTTTCTGACATCTTGAGAGCGCCGCTACCCCCAAACTAATTCAAATTGTTTTGAGATGGCTGAACTCAGGAAACATTCCCGGGTGCCGCCGAGGTCGGGGGTGTCTCCGAGAGTTCGCTCGACTTTTGAATGTCTCCTGAGTGCACTGTCGAGTAACCTCCGTAGTTTTCAAGCAAGCATAGAAGACGGAAGGCTATCCAGCACCCTAAACCGTAAACAAAAACTTAACCTCCGTAAACCCTAAACCCTAAACCCCAAACCCTTAACCCTAACTAAACCCCTGAACCCCCGAACCCGAAGCTTCAGCGGTTTTTTGGCCGTAGGAGCCCGGCGCCTCGGAAGACCTGGACCTCGGCTGGGGGTCGGCAGGAGGCATCGAACCTCCGGCAGTACGGCTGATGATATGAATCCTGCATTACCCATGATGTTTAGGGTTTAGTGTTTAGGGGTTTAGGGTTTAGGGTTCATAGGGTTTAGGGTTACGGCTGAGGATATAAATCCTGCATCACCCATAATTAGGAGTATACCATAATTCCCATAGGTTAGGGCCCATAATTAGGAATATACCAAAAACTCCCACAGTTTAGGGACCTTAAGGTAGTGCAGGATGAAGATGATCAACAGTAGCACTCGTTGTCGTCGTTCTTCGTCTTTGTGGGGTATGACTGTTGGCGTCGTCGTAGCGCTTGCTTCTAGTAGCACACAGCAGCAGCAGCAGCAGCAGCAGCAGTAGGACTGGCAGTAGGAGAAACAGCAAAAATTACATTGCAAGTGGCAGTAGCAGTAGCAGTGGTAGTAGTAGTAGTAGTAGTAGTAGTAGTAGTAGTGGTAGAAGTAGTCGTCGTCGTGGTCGTCGTGGTGGTGGTGGTGGCAGTGGCAGCA